GAAAGGCCAAAAGGACCAAAGAATGCATCAGCTGATGCAAACACTTGCTGCTTAGGCCTGATGACCTGAGTTCAATCCCCAGAACCTATGTAAAGGTAGAAAGAGAGCATTTTCCTCAAAGTTGTCTTATGGTCTCCACATGCATGCCAAGGTATGAATATGCACATGCCCTTCTCATCCCCACCACCAATAAAATATATTAAGGCCAAATCATTAGAAGGAAGGAAGAAAGGAAGGAGGAAGGAAGGAAAGAAAAGAAAGGAAAGAGAAAGAGAGGAAGAAAGAAAGAAAGGAAGGAAGGAAGGAAGGAAGGAAGGAAGAAAGAAAGAGAAGGTACAGAGCTGAGGAGATGGCTCAGCTGATGAAGTTTAGGCAAGCATTAAGACCTGAGTTTAGAGCCTGGCGGTGGTGGCGCAAGCCTTTAATCCTAGCACTTGGGAGGCAGAGGCAGGTGGATTTCTGAGCTTGAGAGTTCGAGGCTAGCCTGGTCTACTGAGTGAGTTCCAGGACAGCCAGGGCTACACAGAGAAATCGTGTCTCAAAAAACCAAACAAACAAAAAAAAAAAAAAGAAAAGAAAAACAGAGTCAGATTCCTGGAGCTCACTGGCCACTTGGCCTATCAATTAATTGGTGATCTCCAGGCTCAATGAGAAACCCAGTCTATGGAATAAAGACGAAAGTCTAATACAACAGACACGCAGTGCCCTCCTCTGGCCTTTGTGCACACATCTCTACCACATACAAACATGCACCACACATATACACAAAAAAATTAAAAATAAAAAAGATCGCCAGGCGGTGGTGGCGCACCCCTTTAATCCCAGCACTTGGAAGGCAGAGGCAGGCAGATTTCTGAGTTCAAGAGTTCGAGGCTAGCCTGGTCTACAGAGTGAGTTCCAGCCAGGGCTACACAGAGAAACCCTGTCTCGAAAAAGCCAAAAAATAAAAAAATTAAAAAAAAAATAAAATAAAAAAGATCATCTGTTAAGGATTTCTGATCCGATATGTTTTCACATATGACTACAATTATCATCAAACAAATCTATTAAAGACAAGGCAACATTTAAAAATAAGGACATATCACAGACACTTAGAAAAGGTTGCTTTAGGGCTAGAGAAATGGCTCAGTAGTTAAGAAAACTGTCTGCTGTTTCAAAGGACGCAGGTTCAAATCCCAGCACCCACATGGCAATTCACAACTATCAGTAATTCCAGTTCCAGGAGATATGACATCCTCACACAGACATACATGGAGGTGGAGCACCAATGTAAATAAAATTAAATTAAAAAAAATTTGAAAGTTGTTGTTTTGACATTTTTATATGTATGTATTATTGTGTATCCGTATGTATGATGTGTGTATGTGCTGTGGCACAAGTTGTCAGAGGACAACTGTGTGGAGTTAGTTTTCTCCATCTGCCTTATCTTAAGGTGAGGTCTGAGAACTGAACTCAGGCCATCACACTTGCATGGTTAGGCAGCAAGCACTGTACTCTCTGAGCCATCTGACCAGCCAATCTTTGACATGTTTTTAAAGTAAGAGGAAGACTTTCATGAACTCTAAAACATTTTCAAAACAACAAACATCAAAAAAGTTTACATTTTAAAAAAATAATTAAACATTTTTCTTTTTAACAAATGCCTCGTTTGTTTTTCTCAAAGAAACAAAATATGCACTTTCACATGTTATCAAGGAACAGGGGCAATTATATTCCAGTCTGTCCCAAGAAAAGAGTTCTCTTGATTTAACACTTAAAAGACAGTGCTACTTGCCCCACCTAAAATTTCCTTGTAAAGAAAAAAACACCTCCTTATCAGGTCTGGATAGGAGATGGTGGCAACACTGACTCTTCCCACTACAGCCCAGAAAAACTTGGTCTTAACATGAACAAAACAATCTTCTGAGAGCTTCAGAGCAGCTGTACTCAGATGGACCAGCCAGGTAGATCAGTATAAGAGTTGATTGAAAAAATAACTTCTGTTTTGGTTAGAAGTTAGGAAAGGAAAAAAGGACAAGATACAATAACATTAACATTATAGCCCTTGTAAGTAACCCTCAATGTTGCTGACTAGTGTGACATTAAATTTAAGCCAAAATTTCTAATAATTTACTATCAACTTTCCAATTAACTGTTTTTCTTTGAGACAAAGTCTCATGTTGCCTAAGCTGGACTTACACTGATCACATAGACAAGAATGGTCTCGGCTCCTGCCTCCACTTCTCTGGTGCTGGGATTTCAGGTGTGCACCATCATGTCCAGTTTTATGTAGTAACAGGGTACACACATGGTAAGCAAGTATTCTTACCATTCAACTACATATCTAGACCCCAATGCCCAGGTGGGAATACTTCTCAAGGGAGGAAAAAATGCATTGTATTTAAGAGTGTTCAAGTTTAAAAAAAAAAATCACAAATTCTAAATCGGAAGATCAAAACAAGGGACTTTGTTCTCTCGCTGGATTTTCTTTATGGGGGAGGGAAAGACTACTGCCTAGAAAACAAAAAATTTTTCTGAATGTTCTGTAGCAAATGTGCCCAGTTGAAACCCAATTCAGTAGCTAATTATAAAGGTTCTGTAATTGATCTGTTTCAGTATTTATATAGGGACAATCTCTAGCCAGAGGAAAACACCTCAACTGGCTGCTGAAAAACAAAGGTTAATACAAAACCACACGATCTGCATTTTCTTCATTAGTAGTACTTCAATCCTTAAAAATAAAAAGAGGTAGGGTTATAACTCAGTGATAGAGTACTTGCCTGGCATGCACAAGCCCAGCTGAAAGCTCTAACTCGAGTACCACTACAAATCCCCACAACACATACACACACTCACATACTCATGCATGCATGCATGAAAGATGGAGGGGGAGGCAGAAGAAAGAATATAATCTATCCAAAGAAAGTTATCAATTAGGTGTTTGAGTCTCTCATTATTAAGTGATATACAATTACTAAACAAAGGACAATGTCCTGTCCCTTTTCTGTACAGAATTAAGAACAAACTGGTAAGACTACTTCGTATGGCTGCCAAACTTTTCTTTAGCTTCTTTTCTTACAGTCATGTTAAGTTTCGCAATAGCTTCCACTTACTTACATCCCCCATGCTTAAAAACAAATTGTGTTTGAGTTCCTCAACCCTCGTCCTAAAACATTATAATAGCTCTTAAGTTTCTAAGTCTGGATGCAAAGAAAACATGAGAAAAAATGTTCAATTTCATGAACTATGAGTCTATTTTATTCACACCACTTAAAATATAAAAAGGGGACTGGACATATAGCTCAGTTGGTACAGTACATGCACAAAGCCCTAGGTTCAATCTCCAGCACCACATAAACTGATAAACTGGGCATGGAAGTGAATGCTTGTACCAACACTTGGGAGGTGGAAATAGAAGGATCAGAAATTTAAAATTATGAGTTCAAACCTAGTATGGGCTACATGACACACTGCATAAACCACACATACACAGTATGACACACTGAATAAACAGACACACAGACACACATACAGACACACACTCACACAAGGGCTAAAGACTGTAGCTCATATGGTAGAGTGCTTACCTACCATGTATAAGACTCTGACTATTCAGTCCCTAGTACCACAGAAATTGGATGTGGTGGTACACACCTATAATCCCAGCACTTGGGAGGTGAATGGAGGATCAAGGTCAACCTCAGTTATTTCTGTCTGAGGTGTACTTGGCCTATATAAGACCCTGCCCCAATTAATAAATAAGAAATATACAAGATAATTAAGACTAAGTTTGGCCAGGTGGTGGTGTCGCACGCCTTTAATCCCAGCACTTGGGAGGCAGAGGCAGGCGGATTTCTCAGTTCGAGGCCAGCCTGGTCTACAGAGTGAGTTCCAGGACAGCCAGGGCTATACAGAGAAACCCTGTCTCCAAAAACCAAAAAAAAAAAAAGACTAAGTTCAATTATCCATTAAATAACTCTTAATGAATGAAAGGGAAAAGCCACATTTAAGGAAACATTTTTGTTAGTGTTTAGAGTATCTATACTGTTTCTTTAGAAATTATACTGCTGAAAAATTTTAAACATAGGAAACAAATGAGTTTGCTGAAAAAAGCCTGCACATCTCCACAAACCTTTACTTCATATGAACCCTGAGAAATATTAAAACACCCTCTGCTAAGCAGAAAACATAGTTAGGAAAGTAGTAACACGGGAATCTGGGTAGGAGGTGCCCTGGGTAGTAAACACCCCAGTGAGAGCACATAACAAGCATTTCAGAGCAACATAGAAGTCCCAACGGGTCTCCAACTTGGACCGCCGAAGTCCCAGGCCCACATCCCTGTGTTTTGAAAGAAATGAAACTTGGAAAGTGGAATATTGGAAAAATGACAGTCAGAGCAGCGCTCTATTTTTTCTTCTTCTCAACCCCTAGGCCAGCATTGTAGCTGGCTGGTCACCAGTCTGGGTGCCATATCCACCAAGAAAAACACTAAGCAATATCCTTGCCGTCTTCCAACCTTAGAGAGACCCAGACTAAAGACCTGTATGTATGTCAGTCGCTGTCTCTTCTCCAAATATCCCCCTTACCCTCTGGATTTCCAGACTATTACCGAAGCGGTGCCTTCTAGCAACCCAACCCACTCACATGTCTTCCTAAACTCATCCACTTAATCTGTGCAAATCCATACTTTCTGACACCATGTCTCTGCCGATTCTTAGGAATTCAATCGAAACGCCAGGACCCTCGTTTCCAATGCTCCACTTCGACCAAACAGCGCGTGCTTTCACCTGAGCCAGGCTCTCGTCACCCAAACCTAACTCCTGCCTATTTACCTCTGCCTTCTGCAGTGCCAAGCCCTAAACCCACTTTTTGGGAAATCTTTTGAGTCTTCAACCTAGTTTAGCAGTCCTCCTCTCTCTTCTATTCCAAGATTCCTCCATTAGACTTCCACTAGAGTTCGCTTCCCTCAGGATTCAACCCCCCTTTCCTCGCCACGCCCTGTGCCCCCCGGGGCTACTTACCCCAAGTTCTCCCCACACTTCAGTCCTCTGGCCCCGCCTTCCTCCAAAAGGAAGGAGGCGGGAGAAGAGAAGAGGGCGGCACTCCGCAAGGTAAAGGCGATCTCCCATTAGCGCTCATGGCCGCCAATTGTGGCTTCCTTCTCTCCTATTGGTTGTCTTTAGCCTATGCCCCACCCTCTTCCTCAGACAGGCCTGGCCACCGCCTCAGCGCCCCCGTCCAACAGACTGGGAGGGGAGACCCCGGCCCGGGACGCTGGGACTGGCCAGAGTAGAAGGGGCGACTCCTGTCAGGCCACGGACTAGCTAATGTTAACAGGACTCACCCGCTGGTAGCTCCGGCGCCTCCCGCCCGCCCGCGCTCGGTCCCACAATCTGTCTCCTGCTCCTCCTTTCCCCCCTCAGCGGAGCAGATACTTTCCTCCCGTCCGGCCAGGCGTGTTCACTTCTCGCGAGAAGTGGGGGCGAGGGCGCGACTCGTGGGGCTGAGTTGGACCGGGGCCTAGGGGCGGGGCTTGCTGTGAGCGTGGCGAGAGTGGAAGGTTGAGCTGTACACACGACTCACACGTGTTCGGCTGCGGAGTGTGGGGATGTGGGCAGCGGGGAGAGGGCGGCCACGTAGTCGTGGAGGTCCGAAGGCGAAGCAGTTGCCGGGACTGAGAATGTCTCAGGCAGCCTTCCTGTTAAAGCGGAATGAAGGGAGCAGAGCCAAGGGAGGGACTCGAGTCACCGATCTGGTGACGAGTTGTAGGAAGCAAGTTAAGAGTTAATTCCGAACAGGTGACTGCTTGTACTTTCTTCTTTACACTTAACAGAACTCACTAGCCGAAGCCTCTGTCCGATGTGTGGAGTATGGGCTAGGATGCTTGTGTGAGGAAGTAAGTTTAACTCCCCGCGGCGGCGCCCGCCTCTAAACCACACTTGGAGGCAGGCTGATCTTTGTGAGTTCAAGGCCAACCTCGGCTACATAGTTCCAGGACAGCCAGGACTACACAGAGTATCCCTGTCTCGACTCCACCTCCATCCACCACCATCCCCCCAGAAAAAAACACCATGGGTGCTCACCAGTCTAGCCTACTTGGTAAATTCTAGGCCAGTGGGAAATCCTGTGTTAAATGAAAAATAAAAATAAGGGGGACAGCTCTGAGGAACCAAACCTGAAGTTGTCATCTGGTCTCTTGGATAACCCTCCACGCCTATGAACAACACGCACACAAAGAAAGCGCCATAGGACTGTTAAGAGTAGCTCAGTGGGAAGCCTTAGGTTGGAGTTACTACCCAGCAAGTACTTTACAGAAACACCAACAGCACATACTACGTCAAAACAAAAGCACATGCAACACTGTCCCGGTCATATGGAGAAGAGCAGACAGACCTGGTCTTTCTCTGACAGAAGTTTTATTTTATGGTTGAGAGAGAGATAGGTCGCCGGGCAGTGGTGGCGCACGCCTTTAATCCCAGCACTTGGGAGGCAGAGGCAGGCGGATTTCTGAGTTCGAGGCCAGCCTGGTCTACAGAGTGAGTTCCAGGACAGCCAGGGCTACACAGAGAAAAACCCTGTCTTGAAAAAACCAAAAAAAAAAAAAAAAAAA